TTTTCACTTTTTATGCCTTACCTATACTATGACGTTTTTTTCCATGTTTTTATGCCTTACTATACTATATTTTTTTACGTTTTTTATGCCTACTATACTATGACATTTTTTTTTGAAAATTTTATGCCTTACTATACTATGACATTTTTTCAACTGTTTTATGCTGTATTATACTATGATATTTTTTGAAATTTTTATGTCCTTACTTACTATTGATATTTTTTTGACGTTTTTATTGCCTTACTATTACCTATACGTTTTTTTCACGTTTTATGGCCTTACCCCCCCTACTATACTATGACGTTTTTTCATGTTTTTATGCCTTACTATACTATGACATTTTTTCACCTTTTTTATCGCTGTATTATACTTTGATATTTTTTTGAAATTTTTATGCCTTACTTATACTTATGCACGTTTTCAACTTTTTATGTCTTTCACTATACTATGATATTTTTTTTAAAATTTTATGCCTTACTATACTATGACGTTTTTTCACCTTTTTATGCCTTACTATACTATGATATTTTTTTGACGTTTTTATGCCTTACTATACTATGACGTTCTTTCACCTTTTTAAGTTTTACTATACTATGACGTTTTTTTTTTAATTTTTATGCCTTACTATACTATGATATTTTGTGACCTTTTTATGCCTTACTATACTATGATGTTTATTCACGTTTTTATGCCTTAATATACTATCACGTTTTTTCACGTTTTTATGCCTTACTATACTATGATATTTTTTGAAATTTTTATGCCTTACTATACTATGATATTTTTTTGACGTTTTTATGCCTTACTATACTATAACGTTTTTTCACCTTTTTATGCCTTACTATACTATGACATTTTTTTTGAAATTTTTATGCCTTACTATACTATATTTTTTTGACGTTTTTATGCCTTACTATACTATGACATTTTTTCACCTTTTTATGCTGTATTATACTATGATATTTTTTTGAAATTTTTATGCCTTACTATACTATGATATTTTTTTGACGTTTTTAGCCTTACTATATTATGATGTTTATTCACGTTTTTATTCCTTACTATACTATGACGTTTTTTCACCTTTTTATGCCTTACAATACTATGACATTTTATGCCTTACTATACTATGATATTTTGTGACCTTTTTATGCCTTACAATACTATGACATTTTATGCCTTACTATACTATGATATTTTGTGACCTTTTTATGCCTTACAATACTATGACATTTTATGCCTTACTATACTATGATATTTTGTGACCTTTTTATGCCTTACAATACTATGACATTTTATGCCTTACTATACTATGATATTTTGTGACCTTTTTATGCCTTACAATACTATGACATTTTATGCCTTACTATACTATGATATTTTGTGACCTTTTTATGCCTTACAATACTATGACATTTTATGCCTTACTATACTATGATATTTTGTGACCTTTTTATGCCTTACAATACTATGACATTTTATGCCTTACTATACTATGATATTTTGTGACCTTTTTATGCCTTACAATACTATGACATTTTATGCCTTACTATACTATGATATTTTGTGACCTTTTTATGCCTTACAATACTATGACATTTTATGCCTTACTATACTATGATATTTTGTGACCTTTTTATGCCTTACAATACTATGACATTTTATGCCTTACTATACTATGATATTTTGTGACCTTTTTATGCCTTACAATACTATGACATTTTATGCCTTACTATACTATGATATTTTGTGACCTTTTTATGCCTTACAATACTATGACATTTTTTCACCTTTTTATCCTGTATTATACTATGATATTTTTTGAAATTTTTTATGCCTTACTATGTTATGACGTTTTTTCACTTTTTTATGCCTTAATATACTTTGACGTTTTTTCACCTTTTTATGCCTTACTATACTATGATATTTTTTTGAAATTTCTATGCCTTAATATAGTATGACATTTTTTCACCTTTTTATGCTGTATTATACTTTGATATTTTTTTGAAATTTTTATGCCTTACTATACTATGACGTTTTTTCAACTTTTTATGTCTTACTATACTATGATATTTTTTTGAAATTTTTATGCCTTACTATACTATGATATTTTTTGGAAATTTTTTTGCCTTACTATACTATGACTTTTCATGCCTTAGTATACTGTGACGTTTTTATGAGTTTTTATGCCTAACTGTACTGACGCTTTATGTCGTACTTTATTGAGACTTTTAATGATGTTTCATGCCTTATCATTTTGAGACCTTATTTAGACACTACTATACTATGACCTTTTTATGTTTTGTGCCTTACTATACTATGACGTTTTTTATGCCTTACTATGCCATCACCAATTTAATGTCTAACTATATAGTGACTTTGTAATGGTGCTCCATGGTGATGCGACTTGTTACCGCCCCCGTTCCATAACCAAAGCGACACACTGAATCACAAGGTAATGAGGTATTTTATTCCTACCACATAAAAAACAAAGAACCAATATTCAAAACAACTTCAGGGTTAACCAAGGCCAAAACAACAAACAAAAGTGCTAGCTTGTGCTAGGAGAAAATAAATGAAATAAAAGACAGTGGCTAAACCTAACTCCCTAGTATGAAGCAAAAAACTGAGAAAATAGTTTGAAAATAAAATGGATAAAACGGAGTAAATCAGTGTATTAACAATCACCAGAATAAACTCAAAACGACTTAAAATATTTTGAAAATGCCGACACTATAGGCCAGACAATAGTTTACAAACAAACACAAAAGTAACAAACACAGAGATCACACGTCGTTCAGGGGCTGAGGACAGAACCGCGATGCTGCTGCCAGGTCTGTCACCGAAGCGCAGTAGAACCCAGGCATTTTAAAATGCAGGCTGTAATTAGACAGTCACCCAGCAGCCACCACTTCCCTAGTCAGGCGCACGAATCCGGCCAGTCAGGAGGGGCTTGAAGTGGGGCACACAAGGCTCCTAGGACAAGAGCAGCACTCACTGTCACACAAAAACACACTGCACATTCACACCAAGAAAAACTGGACATGGCCGTAACAGCCTTACTATGACTTGAAGGGGGTATTCGCCCAGGGAACCAAACAAACTAGAACTGCCACTAAATGTAGTTGTAAGTGTTTATTAATGTATTTGTTGACAACTTTAACTCCTTCTGTGGACACTCATTCGTGGAGGCTGCTGTATGAACACACAATGAATGAATAGTCAAATATGTCTTCATAGGAGGAGATATAACTGCTGAGAGAAATACTGTACATTAACAAGCACTTTTACATGTCTATATATATATATGCATGCAGCTACTTTTCAGTGTGTTCTAAACAATGTGTTAAATGTTTATAAACTGCTTATAAATGCTAAATGGGAAGACTGGAGTGGGTTTAGCATATTTGACCAAAAGTTAACCACAAATATAACATTTATCTTAACTTCTGCAGTCTTTGTGCTTCACTCTGACCTTAAGCTGAGGCAAAACAGGTTGTTTAAATCATAGAGAATCAAAGTGTAATGCTTTTTGTCTTAGAGGCTAAACACATACATTCAGTACAGATACACTGCACTGTTATTAAGTTCCTTTCCTGTTGAAAGAACTGTTGTAGGACATCTCATTCACAGACAATCATAACTAAGAGAACCTCACACCATTCTGTCATTTTTCCTGGGACTTATCCCTCCAATTATTCTCAGTTGTAAGTCATTTTGCCTTTTTGTCATCTTTAATGGTGACGTATTTGTCTATAATGTTTTAGGGATGTGATTTATGGAGATCAGTGAAACAAACCTATAAAAACAAGCAACTGGCCCCTGAAGGGAAACATTATCAGTCCAATCAGAGATCCAGCATCATTAGATGTGATAAGGCCTCTGCAGAAACACTGCACAGCTGTTACACAGAGGAGAAAAAAAAGAACAGATAACCTGGATAATAGCAAGTGCTGGAGGCTTGATTCATTTCCAAATGTTAACAAGGCCGTTTCACAGCTCCAGCATGCTGCGCAGTATGTTAATACCACTAATAAGCCTATCTCTGCGAGTCATCTCGGATGGCAAAGATTTGAGCACGAGGCGGTGTTTTACAATAAAGCTGCTGGCCACATTTTAAATGAAGCATAAGTATTTATGATTTCACAAAGCTGACATAATTGCTTAAAGGGTAACTGAGGAGAGCATTTGGTCTCGTACTTTGTTTTTGTGTTATGAAAGAGGAGATTTCACTGTTTGCAAAAAAGGCTACTGTGTAGGCCATCAGAGAGATGGGAGGAACTTGTGCTCGCCTGTTAAGCAATTTTGCAGCTTTTATTCAAGCTGTCAAGTCAAACAATCAGGAGATAATGCAGCCTTGGTTTGTAAATTATGAACGTGTCAAGAGATGCACTAAAGGCAACGACAGATGCCACTTATCTCCAGCTGCCTCTGCAGTGTGACTGTATCATCAGAAAGGAAATATAACATTTTGATGTTTACATAAGAGAAGTATTAGTATCAGTCAGAAATGTAATTCCTTTCACCCATCCCTCTCGCAGGGGATTGACTCCCCAAAAAACATACAATGATTTTTTTTTTAAGCTAAAAAAAGCAAGAAAAAAAAAAAAAAAAAAGGAGCAGAAAAGCATCCTCGCTGATCTTCTGTCCATTTCCAACATCGCTTCTTGTATATTTTTTGGTGGAAATCCTCTTAGAATGCAAAGTAAATAGATTACGATACAGTGAGGGATTAGGGCTCGCGCGGCGCTGTCAGATTAGTCGGTGAGCGCAGCGCGTCGACAGCTCTGACACGGCTATGGCTGCTGTTCAGGAAAGGGGCTCCGCGCGATGCTTTAAAGTCCCTGGTTGGCTCCTATTCATGAATAAAACTGTGGCCCGTAATCTCGGCCAACACACACACACACACACACACACACGCACACACTTTACACAGCACACACACACACACACAGAGGAAGCCTGAAACATTCAATATCAGTGGTGATGGAAGTATAATAGAAGTCTTTATTTTTTCATGCTGATTAATGACAAGCTTTAAAACATTTTCTGTCATGTTTTTAGAGGCAGAACCCAGTGTAACTGTTTCCTTTTAAGGTTCATTTGGTGTCGACTTCACTAAGACAGAAAACAACCTGAATCCACATCCATGAAGCTGTTCAGTGTTTTTGTCTGGGCTGAAATTTCACAGATTTACTATGACAGGTCTAAAAAAAAAAATAAAGCCTTCTGGTTTAGGAAACATTGTTTTTCAGTCTGACAATACAAAACTGCATCATGTATTATACATTTAGATATTTATAATTATTACACTTTTATCATTTGCATCATCATCTGTGTGTGTACAGATGTTGAGATCCCCACACATAAGTAAGTAACTACTTTGCATGTAAAAAAATATAAAAAGAACATGTTATTGACGAGTCGTTGTGCTTCTCCAATTTCCCATTAGTCAGATTTTTCAAACCATTCCTAAATGGACGACATGAAGCTTCCCAGGGTCGTCATCTTCCTGAGAAACAGAATAAACAGAAATGTTGTGTTTTACAAACCTGAACAGCTTAATCTGTAAATATAAAGACAACCGGTTTACAGCACATGAAGTCACAGTCTTACGTGACCTGGATTTGTACTTTATTGATTATGTTAATTGCCCTCAGTCTTGATAACAATTCAGATTACTTCTCCTTTATACATGCAGACACCTTCACACCTTAAATTTGCACTGACCAACACAGAAACACAAAATGTTAACTCCAGGGTTACTCTGCTCTCATATTTGAAAAAATTGAAGTAAAAAATCAGTTAATATCAAACCTTAATCATCATTACATGAGACCGAGTATACTGCATCAAAACTGCAACTAACGATTATTTTCTTTATCAATTGTTATTTTCTCGATTTATCAATTAATTGTTTTTCTGTAAAACATCAGAAAGCAGTAAAAAAAGACATGTCCTTAAATTACTTGTTTAGTCCCAGTGAGAGTTCAAAATATTTCATTTATTATCATATATGATAAAAACACGTGGTAAATCGTCACATTTGAGAAGCTTTAACCAGCAAATGTTCCCGCTATTTCAAATGTGATTACAACCAAACTCTAAGCACGCGTTCAGATGCTCGGTCCCAGTGTCACTACGCAGCCTTGGGATATTCTGCAAAAACTGGCAGGTAGGATGCAAATTCCACCCACAAGTCAGGCCCATATACTGACACTGATTCACCTCAAGGTGGCGCTGTCATAATCAAGTTTATGTTTTAACAATTATCGTGTAAAACTGTTTGACCTTTAGTCCAAATTCTTTCTTCATTTTAGTCTCTCGAGTCATCTTGAATGCTAACTGGAGGTACAGTGTTACGGTACAGTTGGTATATTTAGTTCTTTTCCCCATTGGGAACCACTGTACACAGTGTACTGCTATGACTACACTACTGCATTATAGGCTATGAACTTATAATGTGATTCTAGATAACTTTATCATCTGATCCATAGGGAGACATGACACAGGCCTTGTGAATTCTGGCAACAGAAATGAAAATAAAAATCAATTTTCAGTCAATCAACTTACATTCACACCGTCTGTGTCACCTTCACGGCCTCCTGCAGAACAAAATGAAACGACACAACATGTTGGAATATGTTCCAGAAAAACCAGCCGCGTCACATTAAACAAGTACAACGACCAAACATTAGACATGCATAATCACACACGACAGCCCTACAGCACATAAACAGAGACTCACACGCAGACACACACACACAGCTGAATGCCTGAACAGGTTACATGCTCACTCAGTAGGTCGGACACGTTGCCTTTTCTGGGTTTTAACAAATGTAGTAAACCGTTGTCACTCATGGCGATCTCTCTCGCTCTGAGCTCTGCGTTAATAAGGTTATGATTGACATTAAAACCCCAGCGTGCCTTATACAGATATTTAAAACGCTGATGCAAATTCCCTCCAATAGCCTACAGTCCGGATTATCAAATGACAGAGCGATTTGGTACCGAGACAATTGCTAATAACCCAAAAAATGGAATTATTAAAATGGAGAGAGCGAGAAGGAGGAGAGGAAGAAGTGAAGAAGAACAAGAAGTGATGTTTTCTTAATGGATGTTTTTCCTAAATGACCAGTTAGTCATCTCAGACATCTGAGACTGAGAGAGCAGAGCACTCAGGCTACGTTTAGAGAATAAAATAGGCTGAATGTCGCCGGAGAATTGTTGCAGGGCATAAAACGTGGCCCTGAAACCGACATGCTGAACATTATGAGCTGTGATTTAATGTAATGGGCTGCTAGTGGTGGTGGAACTGATGAACACACTTGTTATAAGTAGTTTGGGGAAATTAAGAGCAACATAGAGGGTGATTTTGTTTGAAGTCAAAAAGGCAACAACATTTAATTGCTTCCATAGATCAATTTATTTCCTGTTGGGGCAGGGGTGATGCTTAAAATTTTGAGCTGGTGTTTTATTATAATTTCTGGAAATCTGAAAGGAAAGGAATTCCAGCTACAAAGATGAAACCATTAGGAGAAAGAAAAACAGGTTTTGGGTTTGTTATGATGGTCAATCAAAAAACTGCAGTGGAGTAATTGGTCTGAATTTTTATGTGCATCTACTGGCACCTTATACTGTACACACCACCCAATAAAACCATTCCCCACCACCTCAGATCTTTCAAATTCTAATGTGGAAAAATTATGATATTTATTCTTGAACATGCAACGACAATGATTATTATTTGACAAAGCATATAAGACGTTTTTCTTTTCTTTTTATGTCAGAGTTACGTCTGTGTTTTTAATTCTTGTGATTCTCCGGCGTTAGATAACTTCTTCTCTCACAGACACAACAAACACACAGAGATACAGATACTTAACGTGACTGACAGACAGACAGACCTGCGTGTCTCAGTGTCCTGAACACATCTGGGCTCACGGTCACACGCACGCTCTCTGCCTGTAATCTCCTCTGACTGGCTCCTCCATCAACGCTGAAGAACAAAGAGGAAACAGAGGAACATCTGTTGCACTTTGTTTAAAGATTAAGTGTTAAAATACATCCACGACACACACACACACACAACACACCACACACACACACACACACACACACACACACACACACACACACACACACACCAGAATGTACTCTGAAGTGGAGTAACCACACATGAAGCAGCTTTTATAAATGGTTTATAATTAGGTTATTAATTGGTTTGTTAGCACTTTATAAATCATGAATAAACAATTATAAACATGTTATAACACAGTTTTGTTACATTGATGCAGGCTCACTATTTGGCAAGATCAAGTTAATACTTGCTACTCATTAATCTGCTGAGTTACTAGTATTTATAACTGGTAAAAGGAGCCTTATTGTAAAGTGTAAAACACATCATTTATTTATGAGTTAGTATAAGTATTTTTTACTATTATTTATAACTTGTTTATTTATGATTTATAGAGTGTTAACAACTGAATTAATAACCTAATTATAAACCATTTATAAGTCCTTTATGCGGGTAGTCTTATTGTACAGTGGTACCCAAGGTTGAACTGCGCTGTAGTCACTACCATCTGTACAACATCAGGTGTTTTGGCAGAAATATGTTGTCAACAAACATTTTTACTGATAAGTTCAGTATCAATGTTGTTGTGACGTTAATTAACAACATTTCCTCATTAAATCAACAGCAAATCTAACGGTCATCTTTACTTAAAAACATATTTGCTGTCACAAACGTATAATCCTCCGCCACTTGAAAGAGAGTTATTCTCAAAAGGACGCCTCTCTCTCGGAGTCGTCGTCATCGTCTCGTGTGTCTGAAAACAACAGACCACTCACACTTTTGTCGGTGAGAGATTCCTTGAACAATAATCACTCCAGCCTCGATCTGCCACCACAAACTCAGCGCTCAGTATGTTTTGAGGTTTTTCTCGGTGGCGTGAGGCTGATTTCTTTTCAGCTTCTACAAACTGACTCTTGACACAGGACAGATTTTAATATATTGGTGAGTCATTACTTTGTGCTTCTGCTCGGGGCTCCAGGATCAGTGAGATACTGAACCCCTCCCTCCTCACAGGTTGATTAAAAAAAAAAAAAACTGAAAATTAAATTGTCAAATGTAAACAGCTTGGCTCCCTGTGTCACTCTCGACTAACCTCACATTAACTCTGGCCTCCACTAAGCAAAAAATAAAAATAGCCTCCATTCTGTCTTTACTCGGCTGACAGAGGAGTACGTGATGAACGAGAGAGGCCAACAGCCATCAAAGGAACGTTGGGATGCTTCCCAGTTTCCCGTCTCGTTCTCTCTCATTTCTCCGCACACAGAGTCGGATTTGGGGAATGCGGGAATCGGCGAGGAGCCCCCGAACTGCCATTGTGCTCGCCTCCCTCTCTTTCTCTGCTCTTTTCTCAGCGAGCCAAACGGGAGAACGCCCGCGCTATAATGCCTCCCCTACTCCATCTCGGCTAAGCTGTCATTGGCTTCACATGAGAAACAATGAAACTTCATCGGAGACCAGATTACAAAAAAGAAGGGGTGGGTGCAGGGGGTGGGGTTCAATATAAAAATTGTTCTAAAGGAAGGGGGGAAATTGTGCAATAAAAAAGGCAGAGGCTTTTGTCTCTTTTTCTCTGTGGCCATTATCTTTGGGGAGGTTTGGGGATCTGCTTTCTTAGCCTCTGTCAGCGGTGCAGGGGAAGACCTGGGGTAGTGCGACCGGGCTTTTGGCTGCCAAATCGCCCTAACCCTCTTTACCACTCTTTTTTTCTCTTCTCATTCCTTTTACTGTTTTTTAAAAGAGCTTAGGCCAGAGCATCTCTCTCTGTCTCCCCCCCCCCCCCCCCACCCCTCTTCCTTCTCTCCCTCTCTCTCTCTCTCTCTCTGGACCCAGCTTGTTTAAATTGGCCGATAGGAAGGGATTTGGATGGATGGAGGGGCTTAGAGAAACGCAGTCAGTGAGGGGTGGAGGTGGGTGGGGGGGGTGGGGGGTGCAGAGAGTCATCAGTGTTACAGTCAAACAGCCATGAAAAGCCTATGAGGATGAAAAGAACAAGAGCGCCTTTTTTATCTAATGCACACAAATCCCATATAAATACTCCAATATGTTAGTTGGGGTATGACAAGGAATGCCCCTCCATCACCCACCCCCCACCCCCCCCCCCCCAAACACCCATCCTACAATTAATAGAGAGTGGATGGCTATATTTGTATGTATCTGTGTGTGTGTGTGTGTGTGTGTGTGTGTGAGACAGGCAGGGACAAAGAGAGAAATGCTTTCAGGGTGTCTTTAGTCACACTGTTTCAACATATCATTCAAGTACACCAGTGTATTAAACAATCACTCTGAAACAGTGAGTTTTGGTCTGCACACCAGAGACTGAACCGTGGTGAAAATGGACTCCGGTGGCGTTTTAAATGTGGCTCCGGGTTTCAGCGTTGGGATCTCTGGCAGCGTAAGACCCGGAACTGATGTGGCTTTGACATTTGAAATGTCACAGGGAGTGTGAAGGCTTTAAGGCTGCAGCTGGGTCATTTTTGCCACAGACACTCTCATATAATTCACATAGAGACAATAGTGAATCACCATGGGAGACGACATGAATGAGTGGAAGTTAAAAAAGAAAAGAATCCTCCAAACACAAATTGAGTCTGGAGGCCTTATTTTTAATGAGCTGAACTAAATGTTTTTATTTATTTATTCTCGGCAACTAGAATCAATATGAAACAATGTGACTTTATGAATATATGTCACAGTGATGAACCTACAGAGACTTATCACCTACATCTTCAGATTCACGAGTTTCAGCTCATCGTTCAACTTTACTCTCCCCGCTCTCGTAGAGTCGTTTTCAGCCTCACCAGGCAGCTCTACAAACCCACCGTCCACTTCCTGCTCAGCACCACACAGCAGACAGACACAGGTAGAGAGCAGCTGAGCATTTAGCAGCAAAACAGCCAGATACTTTCCACAAAACACGACTCAGTGAGAGTGAATATTGGACTTAGATTCGCCAAGTGGTCAGAAACATGACTCCAAATGAATGCTAACGTTGCTCTGTATCGTATCAACTTAAAAGGGGGATAATATGCCACACACACAAACACACACACACACACACACAGTACATGAAACTCACTGTGCGGTGGTAGAGCCTGAGAACGATGGTCCTGTCGCACTTTGGTTCCTCTCAGTCCGTCTGTCGCCGAGGCTGGAACCACACACGCCATTGCTACCTCTCAGAGGATCGTCTAAGACACACACACACACACACACACACACACACACACACACACACACACACACACACACACACACACACACACAAAGAGGGATAAGGATGAGCAAGAGCAACAGTTGTCATTTATCTGAAAATGTCTTTTTTTTCTTCCTTTATCCACAGCTGGATTTTCCTTTACGGTGCCTGTAAAAAATATGAACTCCACTTGGAAGTGATCAATATTCTTTTAGGACACTGCATCACTCTTTCAGACAGTTGCAAACAAGTATACTGCTTTTTATATTCACAATTAATTTTAATTTTGTAGAGATCTATTTTGTGTTTGACACTAAAGAGTCTTTTTCTGTTGATCAGCGTCTGAACAGTCGAGTTACAGCGTCTGTAGTTCGACTGTAAGTCTTCTAATTTATCATCTCTATGGTTTGTGTAAACAGCCATGTGCATGTGGGTGTAGGTTTTTGCTAATTTGACAGTCTAGTTTCTGACAAACATGTTATTCCAGTGAAGTTTCTGAATTGATACGAGAAGTCAAACACTAATGGAGGATGTGTGAACAGAGCGAGCGAGCGAGCCGAGAGGGAGAGCAGAAACAAACGCTGCGTTCCTTCAACACACCGGAGCTAACAGGCTTTTATCATAACGACCGAGAAAAGAGAGAGAGAGACAGAGAGAGAGAGGGAGAGAGGAGGTGGAGAAGTGGATCTTCAGATAAAGCTCTTGTCTCTTTGCCCATTGAAAGGCCCTACAGTCACATCAGCCTTTGTGTGGGGGGGGAGACAGAACGATCAGGCAACCAACTTGGCTTCTCCTCTTGGCAAGACGCTCCTCAAAAGAAAAAGAGATAGAGAGGAAGAGAAAGAGGCCTTCCCTCGCACTTGTTCGCTACTCTGCCTCTCACAATGCCGTATCTATCCAAATCAACACACTTGTCAGCCAGACAGCTACGAGCGATTTCCAACGCAGTTATAAAAGGAACCATTTCTAAGCTGAAATGTGTGTTCTCCATTGTGCTTATATGTATGTGTGTGTGCCCAAGCAACGGCAGACTCTCTGTTTATCGGGGTTTACAATGGATACACATAAATATGAGAAGAGGTGCATAGAAATACGGAGGCTCTGCCCGATCTGATTCCAAGTCCAAGACCGACGCTGGTAAAAGACACGCACCTTAAAGAGCCACTCGATCTGGTATTGAGTCATTTTCTTTAGAAAACAAGTGAAAAATCGTTCAGACAATAGCATGAGATGTGCTGCTCTTTCCAATGTTTCCTCTTTCAAATGCAAATCAGCTCATTTCTACGATTTTCTCAAAGTGAAATGTGATAAACCAGGGTGGCGATGGCCTAGATCAGCTGTTTTTAGAACAGCTGGCTGGTTTTTCTGCAGGTGCAAAATGACCTCAAGTTAAATGGCTCAAGTCCTGAGGACCAGAACTAAAACCCATCGACCTCGAGTTAAAAGGGAAAGTTTTGATATTTTGGATGAGATGATGAGAAGGTCGATACCTTCTCTCACACCTACAGCGAACAGCAGGCTACCTCAGCTCGGCACAAAGACTGGAAAGAAGGGAACAAAGGAAACTAAATCTGTCCACCAGCTCCCCCAGTTCACTAATTAACACGTTATATCCTGTTTATTTAATCTGTACAAAAACCCACGTGCAAAAACCACACTGTGACTCACTGGTAAATACAGGCTGGGGAAATCACACGAGGAATGCTTTCCTCACTGGCAGCTACTACTGTCAAAGCTGCCCTAGAGCAAGGCATTTCACCCCTACTGTTTCAACAGAGCTACTGAGAGGCTGAAGGTTTAGTGGTGGGACAATGTCAGACTGTGTGAACACAGTCCACTCATGTCTTCCTCGTTCAGTCAGTCTTCTGCCATTTATCCACATTTGGGTGATGTTGGTGGCGGGAGGTTAAAACAGGAAGCCCAGTCGTCCAACTCCTCCTGGTGGATAACAAACCAGGTGGGATGTCTAATCTCCACCTCCAGGAGGGATCCTGAGCAGTTGCATGAATCACCTCAACAGGCTCCTTTCAATGCAAAAGAAGCAGCAGGACTTCTCCAAGCTCCCACCTGTATCTGAACTCCGCACTTATTGATTTAAGATGGAATAATGCCACTGTGAGCAAACACGAATGTCTCTGCAAAAGGTGTCAGCAGGTAACCGTAGGTGGCAAAGCCTCGCAGACGAGCCTACACACACACACACACACACACACACACACACACACACACACACACACACACACACACACACACACACGTCTGCGCATCAAGCAAGAGGTTTGGTTCCTTCAGTTCCAGTTTGGAGGTGGTTTTAGAACAGACAAGAGAAAAAGCAAGTAAACAATATTCAAGTTAATCTACAAATATAAAAAGAAACAGTCGTGCAAAATGTGTTTTTTTATTTTGTTGTACATATTTTGTTATTTACTGTTTGAATAAAGTTTTCAGTGATCACATGAGCGTTAACTCCTCCTACAGTGTGAAGTGTACAACCTGCTGCGTCACCCACAACAAGACGATATTCCTCTGCTGGCACTGCAAACTGCTCACAACTGCAGTATAACTTTATCAGAGGATTATTATTTACTTCAAATGATTTTATGTGGGTATAAATGGAGCTTTAGAGGAATTACTGTAAGCTAGGTGCCAATTCTTAGGTGACAGCGTGGTTGAGAGATTAGCAGGACTGTTAACTAATCAGATCAGGAAGATTCATTAAGTATCAATATTATCTAATAATTACGTACCACTTATAATAAGATCAGCTGAAGACAGTGCTGAAATATATCTTAACAACTAATTTCAGAGAGCGAAACGTAATGTATGTTTGAGTTTGTGTGTGTGCGTGTGCAGTGAATGTGTGTATTTGCCTCCATAACAAGGGGTTGACCTGATGCAGGTCATTCACTGTTTGTGCAGTGAAACATCAGGATGTGTTGTGACTCTGAGGTCGCTGCAGGGAACGACTGCGTTACATGAACAAAACAAGCTGCTCTCGCATTTCTGTTTAACAACTGATTACTTCAGATGGTTGGTTCACGCAGGACTCGGTGTGACCTGCCCCCCCCCCCCCATGCACACATACAGTACACATATTTACACAAACACATATGTCTCCGAGGGCCATTCTGAATTTGATCTGTACTGTGTGACTATGGCTGAGAACAAACAAATGTCAGTCTCTTGTGTGTGTTCAAACAGAATATTTGTTAGTCTGGGCTCAAGGTTACCGTCGCTGCACCGTGGGAACTTGTGTTTTTAAAGTCTGTGTGGGAGGACTCACCACTTTTCAAAAATGCAGTTTTGAGTCAGAAATAAATCTGAAAATGCACCATGTGATGACGAGACGATCAAACACACCTGTAGCTGATGTTTGTATTTCAACAGCAGGTATCAATCTGATTAATCTGCAGTAATTGTGAATTCTCTAATATTTATCAGAGAACATATTCGTTTTTTGTTTGCTTGAAGAACAATGTTTTAACAGCCTCTTGGTTGTTTTAATATGAATGTGATTTCATTGTTTCTCAGCTTCACCTGAATATTTACCGTCTTACACGTAGAAAAGTCTTTATTGGTGGAACAGATTTCTGAAACATGACATGGAGCTCCTGCTGCTCAGGTGTTAGGAGTCACGAGACAAAAAGTTGGGAATCACTGGTTAAATCCCGAACAATGTGTGAAATGTCTTTTTAAATCTTAATCTGAAAAGTAACACGTTAGCTCTTTCTGTCGTTACTTTCCACCACTTTAGCAAAGCAGATCAGTGACAGTGCCTTAAAACAAAACGCTGCTCTCTGTTCAATGTCACAAGCTCCTGTTTCATGAACATTCGTACGCTGATAAAAACATGTCAACTAGAAAAGAAAACCGGTAAATACAAGTCAAATGTATGTTTGCATAACTTGACATGTTTGTACACATGCGTGTCCTCGAGAGCCACAGCTGATCCTGGTGGTGTGTGACGACCATGCCAGTGGCTGTGTGTGTGTGTGTGTGTGTGTGTGTGTGTGTGTGTGTGTGTGTGTGTGTGTGTGTGTGTGTGTGTGTGTGTAAAGCGAGACACCTGTTCACTGGAGCCCTCTGCTTGAAGCAAGTCACTCATTATTTATGACCTGGCTTTTCTGCTCTGTTAATATGCTCTGTCTGCATGTCTGAACGCTGACACACAACTGTACAGCACACACAAATATACACACACACACACACACACACACACACACACACACACACACACACACACACACACACTTAGAGACAGGCATCAGTTAAACCGTCATCACCACTGACTGTAACACAGTGTCAATATCCCCCTCGATTGTGTTTCCAAACAACCTCAATCAAACCATCTATCATGTAACATGCTGATGTCTCATGTGAATGTGTGTGTGAGAATCTGTGTATGTGAAAGAAAGGGAGCTATCTACATATCATTTCATTATCTATTATGTTTTTTCCAGCTTTATTATAAATATTTTTTTCTTATTTTTTATTTCTAAAAATAAAGCCGATCACATTTGGAGTCTCTCTTGACTGAACTCTGCAGAACTCTCTGTGAGCCAGCGTCCGTACTCTGCCAAAGATGTTTTGTGAGGGAAGAACCTCCACTCTGTAAGACAACTGCACAACCACAAGTGGGCTGAGTGTTTCTGTTGCTGTGGGATCACGTCAATATCAGGAGTCGTGTTCTCCCAGTTAATCTTTCATTCACATCAATATCAATAAATTAAGCTTATTAGTCTAATGTTCTGCCTCGTGAAAAATAAAGTGTGTAAGATTTAGTAGCTATAGCTGTTATTTCAATGTATCAAATGCATATTTATTTATTCGCATTCAGGTGAATTAAAGAAACCGATTAGACTCCGTGTACAATAGTTTTTCCTCCAAAACACGGACTCACAGAGACTCGTTTGGTTTTAGCGTCACTATTACACACTGGCCAGATTTGTGAAGAGTTGTCTCACCGCAGAAACATCAGGCTAATACTGCAGCAACACATACTGCAGGCGGCTGGTTGCACGCTTGTGGTAAGATAGCTGATGCAGAATGTAACGTTGCACTAAAGATTCACATTTTTAATCTGGTATCTGTGTTGATGTCAGACCATGTGAATAAACGTGGACGTGCATTCCCACCTTTGAAAAGAAATGTTATAGCGGGATGTACGAAGTTTCAGGACAGAGACTTCTGGATTAAGTTTGAAACAGTCGGCAACAGCAACCGAACGTTAAGAGTCAAAACCTGCAAATGGAAGAAAACTGGGAGGTTGGCAATATTCATGCATCCTTTAATTTTCATGTGTTTCTTTATTTTCTTTACTCATTCATATTCTTCTTTCATTTTTCATTTTCTTAATTCATTTATTTTCTTTCCTTCACCTCCTTCCCTTTCCAATTTATTCATTTTATCCCCTTATCCTTTCATTCCACCTTCCTTCCATTGCTTTTCTTCCTCTCCCTCTTCATTTTTGCCCTCCACCTCCTTATTCTTTTTCTGCTGTCATCCCTCCTTTTTTCTTTCTCTCGTCTGTCCCTTCCTCCATCTTTCTCTGCTGTGCTGTTGTACAAGGATAGGACATGCTGCAGGTGATGGAGGTAAATCATCGAGGACATAATTAAGAGGCTTATGAGGAGGGGTGTGCGTGTTGGGCATCACATTAGGAAAAAAAAAGAAAGAAATTGCATGCAAACAGGCCTCACAGTTACACAAACGCTCATTTTCATTCACCCACAAACACACAGACACTCAGCCTTAGGGGTTTGACCTTATACAGTGGAGTTAAATACCTCTCTCGCCTCATTTGGTTGTCTGTGAGCGCACACACACACACACACACACACACACACACACACACACACACACACACACATACATATATAAACACACACAGCCTTCTGGTGTGTTTTAAGCACCAATGAAGGACTCATCAGACATGTTCATCTAGTTCCCTCACAAATTTGAATGTTTTCTGCTCACCCGTTGGCTCTTAAAGCCTCTGTGAGGAATTGTGTGTGTGTGTGTGTGTGTGTGTGTGTGTGTGTGTGTGTGTGTGTATAATGAGGAACTCGGCTTGATCCCCTCTGGTATGTGCTTTCGGGAGTTTTTGTCAAAGGGCAGCAGCACAGCCTGAAGTAATGACAAAAAACTGGGCCTTCGCTGGTTTTCCTCCCCTTGCTGGTTCCTCAAAAAAAACTTGTGTGTAATGTATTTCATTAGGCTGATGTTGCAGACTTTGTTTAGCAACACTTTACACTTCATATCACAACACTTTCTATTCAATTTGGCGGAGAAAACTCTTCATCTAGAACCATCTACATCCAAAAATATAAGTTACTCTTGAAGAATAAGTCTAGCTTTTGTGCTGACAGTGATTACGTAAAAGGTTAGTGTCACTTTTACTTTTTACAAACATGTAATCAAAACTTCACTATCTCATTTTTGATCACCACTATAGATAATATTGTCTTTTTAAAAAAAAAAAGGCAACAGGTTGTGTGAGTTTTACATGAATATTACTCTGTCAAACATGATCTGATTTAATTCTCCTTGGTGCTATTAAAGGAGGGTGAGAGCCTGAGAAAATGCCTGGTGTTAGATGTCAGAAATGTGTGTCGGAGTGGGTGAGTTACTGAGGTTATCAGGTATCCAGCTCCCGTTTCAGATGTAAGAAATGAGAAATAACGAGTCACATTTGGTGTCTTTTTGGTTGGACATCATGATTATTTTCTTACCGTTGCCTGCGATGGCCTGGGCCTCGATTTCATTAGCTTTCCTCTTGGCCACGTCCGCTAGCACCACCTCGCCCTTATCGCTGGCAACATAATGGAGGTCCTTTGAAGGTAATGCAAGAAAGAAAGAAACGTGAACGTTAATCTAAAATGAATCTAGGCTCCGATGACAATAGGGTTTTTTTTTTTTTTTTCGGAGGGTGGAGGCGGTGTTTTGGCTGGTGAAGGAAGAAACAGATGAAATGACACGAAAAAAAAAATGAGTCGTCGTTTGAAGCCCAACATCAGAAAGAGCACCGGTTGGATGAAATGCCGGTTCCTCAAAAAACTTTGAAATCAGCCTCCTTGCACCCCCTCCCCCTCCCCCCTCTCCCACACCCTCGTTTCTCCGGTTTTGAACTAGGGAGGATGTTATCTGTCATTTCAAAAGTGGAAGAGAAGGCGAGGGACTATTCACCTTTCAGAGACGCTGGTATTCTCTCTTTACAGAGAAACATATCCAGCCGAGCATATTACTATATCAGCCTGTGACAATATTGGAAACAGCATGTATCCTCTGCATCTCTCTGTTTGAGTCTCGCACGGCCATAAAGAGAGATAATATTGGTAAATGATGTCTGAGGGTGGCTGATTTAAAGCTCAAGGCTGCCATACTATTCATTAATAACCACACTGCATCAGACAGCTGTTCCTGTTTTAAGGGGCTCTGGGCTACGAGCAAGGCTGAGGTCAATTCAAACAGAAATCAATTCTCAAAACTGTTGTCTTAATAAATTAGATTCAATTCAATTAAAATCTGGATTGTTCCGTGAGGGATCTGCACTGTGTCCCAAATCTATACTGTGCTGATTCTGAGCAGGTTTTGAGCATGTTGTGCGTTCACACTGGACAAGAGAAAGAAATGAAATACACCGGAGGAAAAAAAAAGTGAGCATACTGTAAACATCTGATATTTGAGTGTGCTGTTGATGGACACCATTCTTCTATAATGCGATGCACAAAGGAAATAGAGAAGACGCTTTCAGAAGATGAAAAAAGCACAACCGCACTGCTGTGATTGTCGATAACGTGTGAACGTGGAGAGCAGCTCATCTTCTCATCTACACATGCACACATGATAGAAAAGTGGACTTGGTTCTTTTTAAATTAGGACAAAAACATACTGTTCTTAATGTTATATTATATATTTTAAAATTAAAAGGGTGTATCCTGGAGGACACACACTAGCTGAGGACAGATGATATGTAAACAGTGTCACTGGCCATCATTCGTTACAGAATGGTCGTTTGTCTTGACCAGAAAGGTCATTGATTTGAACGCCCCACAACGGCAGAGAACAATTACAATTATACATCGTAAGACACTGACTAAACAACCAAACATTCAACTTCTTAAAATGATTGTGATTGAATCAAACCCTCATCCTGGCACCCAACAAGGGGTCGCAGGGTTTCCTTGGGCCGAGTGCAGGGCCTCAGGGCCCATCAAAGGGTACAGCGTGTTAAGGAAAGTCTTCCGCCTCAGCGACATCACAGGACATCAGTGCCGTGACTCAGGGCTCGCCATGGATAACCCTCAGATGGCTAAAGCCAGCCCCCAGCTGAGCCTGCACCCGGCCTTAATACCCCCATATTGTAACCCAGCTTTTGTACCCCCAGAGAAAAAAAAAAAAAAAGAGGAGGGTGGTGGTTTCCAGAAGAGGTGGGGAGCAGCGAGGGATTGAAGCAGAGAGAGGGGGGAGCAAAAGAGAATGAGAGAGAGAGAGGTGCTGAAATTGAAGAGTATGAATGGGAACAGATTGGGTAATTATAGTGTGGTGCCTGCCCTCTGTGGCGAGGAGTTAGGAGGAAATGTGAAAATGGCCGACAACAAAATGGCCTCAAAAGAACCTAAATCGGCTCCCAGGACTGAGGTGGCTAATTCAGCCGCTGTGAACGAGGACATGGCCCCTCAATTAGATACGAGTGAGGCTTCCTAATTGATAACAAACAGAGCAGCGGAAGATTAAACGGGCGAGGAGGAGAGGAGGCAGTCCAGTGAAATGATAGTGAGGTGTGTGAGTGAGAGAGAAAAAGAAAGAAGAAAAGGGCAGAGAGAGACCGAGAGAGGGTGAACAAGACATAAAAGACTAGAGGAAGGCAAAATTAACAACAAGGGTTTTCATTCGTGTGTGTGTGTGTGTGTGTGTGTGTGTGTGTGTGTGAGTGAGTGAGTGAGTGAGTGAGAGAGAGATTATATGACAGACAGAACAGAACAATATGAACATTTGATGCTGGGGCGCTTTATTCCAGCTTAGCTCCTCATAATACTGTCTGAATCTGGAGAGAGAAACACCCAGAGAAAGAATAAACGAATGAACAAATGTGAAATGAGAGAGAGAGAGAGACAAACTGAGAACTAGGGAGAGGGAGAGACAGAGAGAGAGAGAGAGAGAGAGAGAGAGAGGAGTATCAGCCCGACTAAGAAGGGATAACAATAATACTGCATATAAAACCATCAGATATTACACCTCTTATTCCCCAACGCTCAAACGCGACACTAATCTTATTTATATAAGAGCTTTAGGGGTTGCAGCGCGCCAGCTAACCACACTGATAAAGAGGGGCGTTTTAGTGGGCCATTTTTGGGGAGTAGAGGGTAGGAGGGGGGTGGGGTGGTGGTGGACGCTAAGAGCCCAATATTGACTGATATTTGGGTTACCTCCAAATAAATGAGGGATTAGGTTAACTGGCTCATGTCTATGTGTTTGCAGTCAGTGGGTTATTGTCAAACATGATCGATGAAAAGGACACACCTGAACATACAGTGTGGACTGCACTTTTTCTTTTTTTTTCTCCAGGCATTAAGTGCACACTCAAACTTCTTATATAAAAGTAGAAGCTCAGTGTCTTGTGTGAGAAACTGCAGCACACAGACTTTATGAAGAGACAGCGGTATGCTAAGTATGCAGTTTTTCCAGTTCGATGCATAAGCTATCCATATTATAGTTCGAACATAAAGGTCAATTTCTCCATATAGTTTTTGTCATTGCCATTGCAGGCCAGTTGTTGGAGGGTTTGCCTGCAGCCACGTCCACATGATGGCTTTCTTGCTAGCAGCCAGGGATTTGCTCATGTATAAGAAACCAAAGAGCAATCAACATCTTTTATCTCTTAAGCAATCGTGTCCAAATTCTAAAAATGTATGCACTATATTCTGAATTCCCACAGTTTAAAAAAAATATTACAAATAATAAACCAGTACTAGATTTCATTTTTTTCCTAAAATGACACAGTTGGCCTTTGATAGATGTGAAAATTGCAGTTAGGTTTAAAATGATGATCATTTATGAATGTCGGAAAATCTCCTAAATACTTGACAACTAAACTGAACTCCTCCTTGCTTAATTGTAAAATAGGTGACTCTACAGAGAAGCCTCTGCTGTCCCCTGAGGGGCCGACATTAAATCCCGGTGATTACTGTTGTTTTCTGCTATCAGACTCATTGCAGCCACTGGTCACATCATCTGCATGTAGTCATTCATCCCCAGGAATAAGGACAATGCCAATAAACACCAATAACAATTGGTAATGTAAAATTCAAAGCAACTGCTGTAGGTATTATAATCTTTTAGGGTGGAATTTTTCTTTAACCTTTGCCAACAAACCGTCAAATCAAATATTGACAAAGAGACTGGACACATATCCACATATCCACATAGGCACAAGCATGCAAACATGAAAATATACATTCACTAATTAACATAGGCATAATCCCTGGACTTGAACTCACACACACACACACACACACACACACACACACACACACACACACACACACACACACACACACCTGTTATCCAGGAGCATTGTGTTTGACTAACACTTCTATCAGATAGGTGTTAAGGACTTAACGTTTTCATAACGCTAATTACTCATCTGAGCAACAACAATGAGCTTATTGCCAAAGATGTGCGATTCCCCCTCCTCCTCCTCCAGGGCCACCAAGCCCTGCGTCAGATAGCGGAGGAAGATAAGGGGGTGAACCCAGCAGACGCAGCTTGCCTTACTGCTAGCGTATCTAACAAGAAACAGTACAAGCCCTCATTGGGGAACAAAAGAGCCGGCATCAGATTCAGCTATCACACAATTTGATTTAATTAACAAGCTACATCAAGAGCCAAAAACCCAGGAAGAAGAAGAAGAAAAAAAAAAAGGGGGGGGGGGGGGAAGAAAAGAAAAAAACTTGTCGTCAGGCTTGACTTGGCTGACGAATGACCTAATTGGTTACATTATCAACTCATTATCAAAGGCTAATTAGGGAGCTACAGAACAGCACCAATTATGGCAAAAAAAAAAAAAAAATGCAAACGACTAAGTAACCCCCCACTACTACCATCTCTACATACACCCCCAACCTCCACCTCCACCAAAACACCCCCTACCACCAACTCCTCCTCCCCCTCAATTTAACCCGACACTAAAGTGTTTCATTTTAACAAAAGGTTTCTTTTTGGAAAAAAAAAGGCTTGGAGGGCCTCTATTGTTAGCTGGGAAACAATGGGACTAGAGGGGTTGGGGGTCTGGTGATAGAGGGGGGTATATCATGCTGGGCATTTCTAGAAGAGGCGAGGGTGTGCATGTTATTTATGTGTGTGTGTGTGTGTGTGTGTGTGTGCATTTTACAAAGTCGATGACGCGTTATTGAGCTCTGTGGGCAAGTTTGGAAGTTAGAAAGAGTTCGGCGAAGGTGGGGGTTGCCCTCATTAACCCCCTCCACCTCGACTCAATCAGCCAACCAGCAGGTTAAAGCAACAACACGTCCTAATTAGAGCGAGGGGTGAAATGTCAACGTCCTCTTTTTCTTTCTCTTCCCTCTTCTGGTCCTTTCAAACGACGAGTCGCTGCTCTCTTGGTCACTGAGGCAAAAATAAAAGTGCTTAAAGTGCATTAACTTTGTTACAGATGTATGATGAGAAGTATTGCAATTATCCATTGAGTTTTGTGCTTTTTAAAATCTGTCTCTTACGTTTGTTTAAATAAAATATATGTATATGATCAAATCAAATCATATGTGTGATTCAAGACATGCGCGAAGTTCCAGCCAATTCACCTGCAGTAATAATATTTTTACAAGTTAAAAATAATGTGTAAAACGGCTCAGAAAGATGTCACCTGTTCAGTATCAACACTACACACGTGATTTTTATTTAAAACAGGAAATCCGAAAACATCTGCTGGCTGACAGGTGCAGAGTCGGAGCAGCAGGAGAACTGAAAAGAACGAGAGAATTGACTTCATAATTGGAGAGGTGGTAGTTTTGGTCGTGCAGCGTGACGAACCACTGGACAGGGACGCACCGTATCTGGATAACATCACACCAACTTCACCCAAACAGGGAAGTTGCTGTGATGTCATCCAAGGAAACGCTGCAGTCATGCAAATGATTTCTATGACTTCCTTTGAAGTATCCTTCTTTGGTTTATTGTGCCTCACATGGCGGCTTATTTTACATCACACACACCACTGAAAATTATACAAATCATCTCTCATTGTGTCACATGCAATATTTCTTATTCTATGGTCAATAATTTGGCACAAAACATCGAAAGGATTTAAGTGTTCCTGACATGTAAATCTTATTCTCTTCATATGAATATTTCTGATAAAAACTTGAATGAATGAATGAATGAACAAAAGTCTTTAGTTTGTGCATAGTCACGTGTGAATAAATGTTTATGACAAAGCTCCACTAACTGTTGGACATGTAAATTATTTACATAAAGGATTTTGACAAAGTATCTTTACATGTATGAATGTACATGAAGCTCTGGGGGAATAATACCATTCCAGCTTTCGTTTCTGTCCTTACTCATTTCTTGACGCTTCCAAAGTGACAAAGCAAGACTTGTCTTTCTTTTCTCTCTCACCTTTTCTCTTGTTTTGCATTTGTCATATAGCTTTCCATCTCCACCACGACCCCCTCCTCTCCTCTCTGACCCCCCCCCCTTCCCTTGCGCTCTTTCAAGGTCCACAGGCTCGACTCCACCTTTTCAATTCGGCTTCCCAGCAGCACTACTTAGTGGGGAGGGAATTGGAACCAGTGCTATCAGTGTGATTGAGGAAGCAAGGAGTGTGAATGTGTGTGTGTGTGTGTGTGTGTGTGTGTGTGTGTGTATGGGGGTCTGTATTAATGTCTAGGGTGTTGGTGAAGCATGGAGCAAAAGGGGGCCCCCATGAAAAAGGGGGTCAAACACACAGAAGAGCATTTCAGAGTGGAGTGGAAGAAAGAGCGAGTTAGAGGGAAGATGAGAGGAGAGGAAAAGGCTGAAGCGAGGCCATGGAGGCTGTGAAAAGTTAGGGGCCCACACTGAGATCACACCTGCTCTCTGACATGCAACACACACACACACATACACACACACTCTCAACCCTTAAACAGCAAAATTTGTCCATTCAACCATAGAAAGACAAGAGTGAGTGAGTGAGTGAGTGAGTGAGTGAGTGAGTGAGTGAGTGAGTGAGTGAGTGAGTGAGTGGTGAAGTTACACCCTTGATTGGCCACCTGAGTCTTTTATTTCTTTACCAGGCTTTTATTGCTGTGCTGACGTGCTGCAGTAAGTTTAAGCAAGTCTCATTTCTGGCTGCTGGCCGCTCCGATTTTTTTAAATTTCTAACTGGCTCACGGATGTGGTGACCCACTGGGATGTCTCCTGGTGCTCCTGATGGTCAGTCAGACTATGGAACAGTCTATAGTGCAAACACCATTAAATCAGAAATGGACTTTCACTGTCAGCGCTCATGCTCCTGTGACAAAAGCCATTTATTTCTAGGTAGCATGTTGTGCTGTTGCATTTTGAGATTATTTTCTATTAAGTTTATAAATAAGTGTTTTGGCACGCCAGGCCAAGTGGCGCTATCCATGGTACTGAAAGATAATTCTAGCATGTTAAATTAGCATTTCACCTGTTGTTTTGTTGTGTATGATCACATCCCCCATGTGTCCACATGAGGAAAGCACAAGGCACATGGTCAGCCTGGGAAAAAAACAGTCCACCCATATACTAGATTTATACCTCTTGTCTTGTTTACTCCTCTTTTTCCAGTGTTTGGCTTTAACAGTCTCTCCATCCATTCTTTCATCATATTATCTGGTAATTTGTCTTCACAAGATTAAAAATTCCTTGAATGACAGACTTGATGTGTTTTAGTATAATGTTAGTAAGCCTTTTGTCAAAGTATGCATCACATTCTTTCAGCTTGCTTTCCACTCACCATGAATAAATCTCTGTCTTCCAGATCTACAGCGAGGAGGAAGGCCTTCTCAAAGCGCTGGTGTCTGCAGATAGAAAGTGGAGACAGTTAAAAAGGAAACATGACAAAACCCTGATGAAAAAAGCTACACAATCATCAATCTAAAAATATAAACTTTAAATAAAAATGTACAGATGCATAGGTCACTAGTACGCACAGACCTTCAGTCTGTATGCATGCACACACCCCAATCCACACCACACACACTCACATACACACATAAAACTGTCAATAATTGAACTGAGTGTCGCGAGCCCTCTTCCTATTATCCAGAATTAAAGCTTGGAGAGAGAGAGCTGTATCTCCCAGTACAAAACACCTCAACTTTCCCTGTCTAGAGCCAACATGAAACAAACAAACACGAGCAGAGAGAGGCGGTGTGTGTGTGTGTGTGTGTGTGTGTGTGTGTGTGTGTGTGTGTTTGTGTGTGTGTGTGTATGGAGGGGGGGGGGGCTTCCTTCATTTGATGTTGACGGAGAGAAAAAGAATGCAGGTAGGTGATAAGAGAGGAGAGGAGGAGGGATGCCAAACAACGCTCCAGCTCTGCTACAGAGGAAGAGGAAGAGAAAGAGAGAGAGGGAACTGGAGGTAATTGCAGGATGGAGAGCAGTAAGCAGCAGTGTGTGGGAACAACAGGGTCTATTTCAGTCAAACAGGCATTTCAAAAGGCTCTCATGGCAGAAGGGAAAATGAAACAACAGTCTAAACAGGTGCATGTATGGTGCTTTGCCTTATGAATGACTCAAAGCTGCATTAGTGTGTGTGTGTGAGTGAGTGTGTGTGTGTGTGTGTGTGTGTTTGCAATGAAATTCAAAAGCAATTTCCTTTTTAGAATTTTTAAAATAGCATTTGTGAGTGGTATTAAATTGTCTCTTCAATGGATGTCATCTTCTGAAAAAACGTTTTTAGACTATTTCTCATTCTGATTCTACACCCTGTGTTGATAAACTGAAATGTTCTGGTAATGCCGTAAAAATAGTCAAATAAAACTGTGTGTATGAGAGTGACATGACAACAAGGAGAAGCCTTAGATCACTGATCAGACGTGTTATATTTTTAATTTGTTGATTTTATATGTTCTGTAGCCTGATGGAGGAGCATACTGCTAAAACCCACTTTTGCCATTTAGGTGTTTTCAGTTCCAGCAGCTGACCTTGACCCTTGACCCCCTTGAGGACACGTGCAAGATAAATTTCTCCCTGTGTACATCAAATTAGGACCACAGCAACAGAAAGCAGAATGGTTGGTGTGTTACCTGAGGAGGTGGTGAAAAAAGCGTCGGGCGTACTTGCTGATTGGCTCCCTGTACTCCAGTATCACCGCATCAGAGAAAGGGGCAGGTGGAGCATAAAACACACCCAGAGCTGCTTCTAGTTGGGCTACAGACAGAGCAGAAACACACACAATAAAATGAATACATGAAAATAACATTCATATGGTTATGGTAGAAGACATATATATACACACAGTAGATCAGCAGCCTAGCCTATAAAACTACAAACCATGATGCTAATGTGGCTAATGAAATTTGAAGGCCTTAGCTAACATAATTAGCATTTTTGGCTAGACCGCAGGGGTGGGGCCAGCCCTATAAACACAAATGTCTGTTTCTGACTGACTGACTGAGTGACGAGGTTACACCATTGGTGAGCTGAATGCCACATGACTTAAGTTACACCAGTCAAGTGTTGGTGCTTCCTGTTTGGCTGTTGTTCTTTCAAAATGATTTGGTGCAACCTCAAATCTTGCGCGACTTTTTTGGACAAACCTTAGCTAGATTTTGTCTCGTGACATCACGGCAGCTTGGAAGCATCTTTTTCTTTTTTAATGGGCCACATTTCAGTCACTATTTCACTTGTTCTGTTGTCTAACAACAGAAAGAGAAAAAAAACATGTAAATGACAACAGCTTTATTGGACTAAAATACTGTCTATGTGAGCACAGACAGTAGGAGCACAAACAAATGTTACAAAGCCAGAAAAAAGACAAAAAATACTCTTTGAATTTGACTATTTGACGGTGCTTAGTATTTGACTCAGCTCTAAATTTACTGAGATATCTGCAGGACTAAAACCTGTCCAACCTGAAGTGTTTGACCCACAGACCCACCTTCTCTCTCTGCATTCAGCTCCAGCCTCAACAGGTGGTTGGTGACAGAACACAGGCCTCGGTAGCATTCGTCTCCCGTGACGCTCCAGTCCATGGCCTCCAGGATGCCCAGCGCCTCTCTGACCTGGCCACAAAGAAGGCGCTGCTGCAGGAGTTCCCCTGGACCCATCTGGCCCCCAGTCAGAGCCCCTGTCACAGAGAGTCAGAGTTTGGTGCGAGTTTATTGTTACATGAAATAATGATGACAAAAACAACAAAATAAAGAGTTAAATGCACCAGGATCTCGTTGCTCTCCTTCACGGTTGAATGTATAGTCTGATTAAATTATCATCAAACGATACTTACCAAAAATAATTCAAACATCGATTTTTACTTTTATATTTTCTCTGGGCCAAGAACAATACACAGTAGACCCAAGAGAACTTACGCACGTCTACCATCAACAATTCAAAAGAGTGAATCAGAATCAAAATTTGCTTTAGACTTTAAAACAAAAAATGTTGGAAATCTTTTAGGCTTTGTCCATCAATCCACCATCTATTATCTGGAGTGCGTTTTTATTATTGTGTTATATTATATGTTATTTTATTAGATTTCATTTAGACGTTTTTTTTTTTTTACTTTATATGTCTATAGGGAGTCAATTATAAATTTCAAATATTGATACAAATTTGTATATGTTATTTTTTGTGTGTGTTTAAATGTGCAAAAATGCAGCAGCTGAAACAACATTACATACAGTATTTTCCTTCATCTCATTTTCCAGCCCTTCAGTACTCCAAGGTGCAATGGTGCTTGCTGTGTGTGACCATGCAGAATAACCTGGAGCACTTACTTAAGCTAAGTAAGTGTCCAGTGGATCGGTCTAAACTCTGAGGCAGCACTAGACTGGCATTGACTTGTCAATCAATTAGCCTGGAAGTCTGTTTAATCCCTGGCGTGTCTGTATCTGTGTGAGTGTGAGTGAGTGAGTGTGTGTGTGTGTCTGTGTGTGAAGACAAAATAAAAACAAGGTTTTCCTCATCACCATCTATTTAAATACATCTGAAAAATACTGAGCATACATTATGTTGCAATAATTTACCTGTCTGTTGTTTTTTTTGTGACCACAGAAGAAGAGAGGAAT